TGTTTGGCGAAGGTGAAAAATACCCACCGTTTCGCTAGAAAAAAAAAAACTAAAAATAGGAATCAACAGAGCTGTGTGCAGATTATAAATATTTGAAAAAATTCCCTCTAAACCAGTCATGCCCAGCGCAGGGTACTTGCTTATGGAGTTCTGCCAACGTTGGGCATGACTGCTCTAAACTGCCTTTTAAGTAGCCTTATTAGGATACTGTTATCGTACTTTTGTTATAAAGAAAAATTTATTTCCCTTTCGTTTGATATGCATATGTCTATATCCAAGCTATCGGTGTAAATAAATTTTATGTATATAAAATTTGTTTTCATAAACTTTTCAATGCTCATCCGACGCCTTCGGCCGCCTAATTTGAAATTTAAAAAATTGTCTGCACATCAGTATATACAAGATTTTTATAAAAAATTAGCGAAATAAATAATATTTGATCGTATTTCAAATAATTCGCTGTACCTAAACTTTATTGACTGACTATATGTACATATGTATATATATGTACAACAACAACATATACATATATTTATCTTGTTCGCTTTGTATATATTATGGAAACATAGCTTAAATTTTCTGCAGCCTTAATTTTTCAATTACTATTTCTATTAAATTAGACGTTGACATTTGAGTGGAGCTTCCATACAAACTTTCATTAATAACTAGTCACATTGCGAAGCTCATGTACATATACATTCATACATGCAGCGTACGTTCGCATGCAAAGTACAAATTGCTTTAAAACCAAGCAAATTTCCCATTTACACAAAAGATGGAGGAAAAATTAAATTTGCAAAAAAGCTGTTGTCAAATACGTATGTGCATACATATATGCCACCGCACCTTAATATCCGCAACCATTATTTTTACACTTTGTTGCAATTTTTTCTAATATTCTAGTCTCTGTGGCTATTTCTAAACGAGTAGATACCTTCCACTGCATCTTTCATTCGCCTTCCTATGATAACTCATACAGCCTACGTACAAACAAGTATTCATATGTATGTGCTCTGGAGTCCTCTGCTCTCCTATGTAGGTGTCCGGTGGGTCCTTTGTCAGCTGCTCATGTTTTTCTGCCCCAACGTTCACCCTCGCTGCTTCGTCCGTTTTTTTTCTGGTTTTTGCATTTGCTTCCGCTTCAGCTATCGTTGATACTTTTCTCCTACTACTTTGGTCAACCGCTCTCTATTCGCAGATGTACAATATTTATGAACATATATAACAGCAATTTCCGATCCTCTGGCTATATACTCCCCCTTCATTAGAATGTAGTATTTATATACATATATATATATATGTATGTATGTAAGTATATTTTGTAAGTTACACTAGGCGTCAAATGAAAGTGTTGCCGTGTTCTAATATAATATTCACAATTATTTTCATGATTTTTTTTTTGTATTATTTATTTATGAAAATATACTTCATTCTATAATATAAACCATATAAATTAAAGGCTCACACTTTATATAAACTTCACAAAAATTCAAAAAAATGTCATCCAAATTTTCTACTTTTTATTCAGAGTTTCCAGAAAATTTTCGAGTATGCAGTTTTGTAGCCCTCTTACGTTTAGTTAAGTGCAAGTTTTACCGGTGATTTTTGAGATTCTTCTTTGAAGCAGAAATTTCTTATGAAACAAACTTTCAAAAAATCAACGCCAGTTTTTGTAGATTGCAATTTTTTTTTTTTTTTTAAATAAAAGAAAAACGAAAAAGCGGTCTCCGAAAAAAATTTTCAAAAATCAAAACGATTTTGTAGCCGGTTGAAACTTGAACTTCATTAGACTAAAATTGAATGAGCTATAAAACTGCATACTCGAAAATTTTCAGGAAACTCTGAATAAAAAGTTGAAAATTTGGATGACATTTTTTTATTTTTTTAACTTTATATAAAGCTTGAAACTTTGATTTACATGGTTTATATTATAAAATGAACTATATTTTCATAAATAAATAAGGCAAACAATTTTTCATGAAAATAATTGTGAATATTATATTATAACAAGGTGTAAACTTTCATTTGTCGCCTAGTGTATATTCGCACAAAGCTCGCATGTGGTACACGCCTATGGCTTGCGTGTGCTCAGCTCTTTTTATCTAAGTATGTATATACTTTAAAAGACAACAAAAGGAAAGTAAAAGGATTGGCTCTTTTAATAAATACGAAGCGACCTTAAAAAAAATCTAAAAAGTTTTTTTCCATATGAAATAATGCCGCGCAGTGAAGTGGCAAGCGGCTCGTCATCCCACTTGTCGTTCGTTGTACAAATATGTACGTACATAAATATGTATTGACTATGACCCTGCACAAAGGTGTGGTAATTATAACAAATTTTACTATTAGACGACTAAGGGTCCTTTGCTCAAGTCACCTGTAACTTTAAAACTTTATATTTATAGGTTGCATTAAAATTTATGATTGTGTCCAAAGTAAAGCATTTTATTATCCGTTTTAATTTGGTTTACAATGTACATAAATACGTCATAAACCGGTAATAGAAATGCCTAACTTTAGACATAGCTTTACTTCTAATGCAACCTTTAAATATAAAGTGAGCTTTAACCTTAAATGTTACTACAGAAAACGGCACTAAGACCTTTTTTAAATAGTTATTCGTCAATATTTTTTGGCCAAATAGTAAGAGATAGCAATACGGAGTAAAAAAGTGAAAGTTTATATGATTGTAATCATACTACATATTTACTTAATTGTAAGTACTTAAAGCTCGGTATAGATATGTCTATC